CTCTCTGGAACCCATCCCACCTGTCAGTCTTGCCTATGTGCTTAAGACCCCTGAAACCGCACCATTCATCTTCCTCACTCTTGTTCCACAGCCTTGTTCACCCATCACACCTTAAGACCCTAACTCATATCTGAGTCTAACCGTTCCACTCTTGGAATCGCATGCCAGGTTTACCGCTCTCCTGTCACCCACCATCTACCTCTCAGAATGCCTTTACTACGGACTCTTGACAGGGTTGGAGTTTCTTCAAGTGATTGGCTGAAGTCCGTCTGATTTGGAGCAGAGACTGTGGTTCTACGTGCAAAGACTTAAGTCTGGGAACAGGGAACCTTCGGGATGTCAATTCGCAATTTTCATTTGAGCAATGAAAAGCAGTGGAGTGAATACCAGAAAGGCTCATGAAAGCCTAACACGCCGCGTTTGCTTCTACAAGTCCAAATTGAAACCCTGTGCAATTTCTAATAACTCCATAACCCTAAACCGCAAAACTCTCAAACTCGAAATCCAGAGAATCTTGAAAATTCCGGAAATTTTTAGCGCCGGTGATTTCCAACTTCCAAGAATTTTCCAAATCCCTGCATGCAGGTAGAAGGTTTAAGACCACTGTGTTGGATGTTTTTCGACCACTGCACCGTCTGCGGCGAGAGTCCAGTCGCCAGGCGATGTGCAAGATCTTAAGTCCGACAAGTGTGTAAACGTCTACCTCCAGCAGTCGGGCTTTTACAAACCCATGGGTTTTCACTTTGCCACACACTTTGCAATCTCTCTTGCGTTGAAGCCCACTTCTGGTGGACTGTGAACGTGATGAGATCTGCAAACTCCGGCCAGGCCTCTTCGTCTTTTCTCGAGAAGGGCGTGTTCGAGCTTCATTAACTTGGATATATGCAGGCCTGGACACTTCATTCGAAGGGCTTGGAGTCACGAGCTGCGTTCCGCCAGAAGTACTGGCTTGACTGCATCACTAGTCACCTTCACGCAGTTCTTCAAGCTGGCTGTGATGAAGACATGGACTTCGAAGAGGAGGTTTTTGGCCGCGGCAAATGTCGTCAGTGCTCCCTCTTAAGGCACTATGTCTGTTGGAAATCAGTGGTCCTTGGCTACTCTGGGATAGCCCTACTGGCTGATCACCATGGAGCAAGAACATTTGGTCCGGCAAACACCGTGCGCCTCTCTGCCTTGTACAGGAGGCTGTGTTTCGTAAGACCTACTGGCTGATCACCATGGGCAACTGGCCTACTCTTCCTGCGGGAGGGTCGGCACTGGTTGTTTACCGCTGCTTCGGTTATGACCACAGTCAAACATCGACTGCACTGCTCTGAGACAGGGTCTTCTGCGTTTGGCCTGAGCCACTGCACAGTGCAGCGTGGAGGCACAATGTGTTCGCCGTACCAAATCTTCTTTACCATGGTGATCACCCAGTGGGGTTGGCTGATCACCATGCGGCAAAATAGCCAACCTCCAGATGGGAGGGGTCGACACTGGCGAACTTCGATTTGGTGTTTTTCCCAGTGGAATCGGTTGCTACTGATGCGCATTGACCTCCTTCTGGCTGGTTGATGCAACTTGTCGGGACGGGGACACCCTTCTGGGTGGGCGCTGCGGTAAGTCTAATGGAGCGGAGAGCCTCTCGCTCGGGGCTGCTCCACTGGCTGACCTCCATGGAGTACTCTGGGCTGTCTTGCCTTGATTGTTCATCGTGTTATGTCCAAGGTAAGACTGCCCAGTCTTCCTCTCCTCTGCCCCCGTCAGCCGGGTCGGTTGCTCCATTTCTGTGCTATGGCCTTACGTGAACCCTTCGGCCTTGAGACCCAACAACCGCCAACCCTGGTTGCCCCGCTGCTCATCGCTGGACGAGACGACACGTGATTCACGTGCTGTCACGGCAATGTGACCCGCCCTTCTGTAACATCTCGGCTGAGTGCCGACTCTGGAAAGACCAATACTGCGGTGCTTTCTTCCAGACTGTGGGCACTTCTATGTGGAGAATACACACCCACTGCCATGGCAGGGAGCCATTGAGCACCTGTGCACTAACCTGGCCTTCAAGAGGGTCATCCTCGTCTGTGCTTCGCAGGCGGCACAGCTGTTTCGCCGCTTGCTTGGCTGTGACCTGATGGCTCTGATTGGATCAAAGCAGTTTTACCATGGAGATCCTTGCGCTTCGGCACGCAAACGTGATGTGAGCCCTCCCATCTCCTTACCGACGTACCTCGTGGGTTAGGGTTTGGAGGGACCTGATGCAGACTGATGCGCAGGCCAACGCAAAAGCTGTGTGGCCTTGTGTGCGATGTCTTGACTGGGGGTCTTCGGTCGTCACTTTAAACTCTGTGCTTTTAAGGGTTTGGCAACGTGCTCATGACGCTCACGGTGGAATTGGTAGCTGTAGCTACTCACGCAGTGAAGGCTTGGCCTCCCCTCTGGCCGTCTGATGAAACTTTGCTTGTGCGCGGACATCTATCCAGGTGGGCGCAGCTGCAAGCCAGGCTCGGGGCTGCTCCACTGGCTGACCACCATGGAGTGCCCTGGGCCGGTCTTGCCTTGATAGTTCTTGCTGTTAAGTCCCCACTGGCTGACCACCATGGGGCATACGCACGTCTTTCCTCTCCTTTGGGGAGTCTGACCTGTAACATCCCTTTGCCACTGCGGGTCTGTTATCTGTCCTTGACGATGGGTACGTGATCCTGACCATCGAGTGATGACCTCGGTTCGATTCGAATGATGTCGCACCAGTAGCTACATGATGGTGGTTTTGAGAATCTGGCAGTGTCGCAATTTGCGATTCCCCGCATGCTCTGTGCTGTATGATTGCGCCGGGACTTCAACGACGACTTCGAGTACTGAGTGCGTGGGGTTACCTAGTAGTTCAGCGCCCTTGCTTGCTTTGTTTCTTCTGTTTCTTTGGTTCTTGGGTGGTTGCGTGGTGTGGTTGGTGGTTTGAGCGCGCTGACTTCGTTTCACCTGTTATGTCGAGCCCAACAAGACCGGCCTACTGCGCTACTGATGTAGTAAAGAGGCGTCAGTCCAAAAAAAAAATGGCGAACTTCGATCTTGGTAACACAGCAGTCGGACATCAACCGTCTTGGCGCTTGGAATAGCATGTCTGCTAAGACTACTGCGAGTATGCGGACTGCTTATGTACTGGTGCTCAACTTACTCAGATGATAATGCGATGGTGATTTTGACTTCTGGCAAACAATCGCATTTTTTAATTCCTCCACTCGACTTGGTGCTGCATTGGCTCTGAACAGGGACTACATCGACGAGCTTGGGTACTGAGCGCGTGGGGTCTAATTAGTCGTTTCGCCGCCTCTTTGGTTCTGTTGGGTTCTTGTCTTGTTGTTGTTGTTGTTGTTGTTGTTGTTGTTGTTGTTGTTGTTGTTGTTGTTGTTGTTGTTGTTGTTGTTGTTGTTGTTGTTGTTGTTGTTGTTGTTGTTGTTGTTGTTGTTGTTGTTGTTGTTTCGTTGTGGTTGCGTCTTTCTTGTCCTTGCTGCTTCCCACGGCAATTTGTTTTTACACCTAGTTGCAAGACCCACAAGAACGGCCCACTGTGCTACTGATGTGGTAAAGGGGCGCGCTTTGAAAAAAAGAGGCCATCTCGTGATCTGTGTTCAGACCGGACTCGGAAGGCCGAAGCAGAGCAATGGACAAAGTGATAGCATGGCAATCGAAATGGTCTGGACATTGTGGATCCCGCCTTTGTGCGAAAGACAACGCGGCTTGGGTCTTGCTGAGGCTCAGTGCAAGTTTTTTTCTCAAGTTTCGGAAGGACTGGCAACACCGTGTTATGTCCAGTGATGGGTGAAGCGTGTGTTGGCATGCGCGTAAGACGATACTCCGTAAGAGGGGAATAGAGCGTTAAGAACATGCTTTTCTTTGCCACCAGCTCGTCCAACTGCTCGACGAAGTTCAGCTGCACTACAGCAGCTTTTCTTGCCGCCAATGTCACAACCAAGCACATCGAAGGATTACTTTGAACAGGCCGTAAACTCGCCACTCTCTCACCCAAGCCAAACAACACCCCTCCAAAGAAATGCCCCGGATACCTCCAATTTAGGAGGGTGGCAGGGAACTTCCAAGGCACGTAGGGATGTTAGCCTTCAGGACCTTAAGGCCTGAAGCTTTCTTGCCTTGTTTCCCCCCTGCCCGATCCGGACTCGGGCTCTTTAAGATTCCTGGAGCCCAAAGTTCTCAAGGACCCAAGCTTTCGAGATTTTTCAGGCCTGAATGTGGTGGTCATGATTTCCATGCTAAGCGGTTGTTATTGACATCAAAAGGCTTCTGCCGTAAACCGTTGATTGGCCTTTGACCCCTAAACACAAACCCTTAAAAACAACCATCCAGAAAACAGACAGTTGTGATTTTTCTTGGTGACCCCAACAACCGAGTTCACAGAATATTTTGTCAAGTTTTGTGATTATAAACCTTGCTTTCACAAAAGCCAGTACAACACTACCAGCTTTGCGTTTTCGCCAGCGTCGGTCAAGGTTGGCACCCAGCTGCGCCGCTTCGTCCGAAACACTGAACAATCAGGATCGGTGCAGCAGAGCTACTATGTAGTACAAAAGGACGAAAATGGTCACTTTTTCTTTGCAGCCAAGGGCTGGCGGAATCGCAGGTCGTGTTCCCATGCACACGTTTGACCTGTACGCATGTCGCTGGCTGTGTTTAGGGGTTTTAACATATCTCGAATCTTTGATGGGCTCCATTTTTTAGATAGGTGGAAACACGTGTGAATGTGCGGTGTTCTGAATATTTGGGGCACCCGCGGTCCTACTACAAGTGCATGTTTTAAACCACTGTTCTAAGTGGGGTGTCATGTATTTGTTTGGCTCAAAAGAAGGTTGAGTGCTTCCCGTGTTGCATGCTGTGGCAGTGAGGCCGCTCGGCATGAATTTTCCCATCTCTGCTCGCTCAAGTGCGTGTTGTGTTTGTGGTATTCGTGGATATGAGACTGTCATATGCACTTTTGCTCTTTGACGTGTGTCATGCCAGTTGCCACCATGCAGTCGATGCCGCCGATGATGCCGTGGAACCCTTGGACTTGTTCACACACGTTTTGAGCAAAGCAACGATCGGAACCGAGACGTGAATGTGCACTGACGCAACAGCCTCAACAAATTGTGCGTCAGGCCAACCAGTGGCAACATGAGCATGGGTGGCTTGCCTCCACAAGGATTCCAAAGTGTGCGTGGCTTACAGCTGAGGGCGTTTTCTGCGCACGGATTGTGTGTCACAATGTCGTCCTTTTTGTATAAACGGAGTCATGATGTGTGCTTGAGTGCAGATGCCGCCTCAAGCTGGCGGGCCACAGGCCATTCTTCCAAAGTAGCAGCTTTGCTCGGGTGATGTGGGCATGGTCCGACATGTGTGGATGGACAGGGCTCGATGATGCCGCCAATGACTAACGTCCCTGGATCTGCCGGCGTCCGAGATCTAAGGGTTGCTGAAACTCCCGCAGCTAAGCATTGGTTGTTCCTTCTCTTGAGACTATGTGATTGGCTTTCTTTTGGCCTGGATGGGTCTGGAACTTCATCTTGTGATCTGTGCATGCACATTTTGTTTGCCTCTAACATGCGAAAACGAAGGCTTTTGTAACAACCTGGTTCAGCTTCGGCATTCTTGAATGGGTCACGTGTAAGTGAAGTACAAGTCCAAGAATAGGTGGCAACAAGTAGAGTCGTGTATGACTCACATGATTGTCGGGTTTGCCTCGGATCGACATTTTTCCGAGCCCCATCAATGATACAACTTGAACATGGTTTTCTATGCATGTGCTGCGAGGCAACTGTTCCACGAACTTCAATACCAGGGACTTGGTCTGAGATGTTTGCAATTACCAGTCTCAGTTCTTCATTCGGGTTTATTCATGCTGGAACGTCATGAGCTGGATGTTCTGCTCCCAGGACGGGAATGCCAGGAGGAGCGACTTGCATCAGGTTTGTGGTCACGTGGAACTCGTGTTTATGTCCTGAATACTGCTTTACGTTTTGGATGGATATCCTGAGCCGCAAACATCTGCAACCTCACAGATGTTTTATGATTCACATCTGCGGAACAGCAAAATCAGCAGACGAGTCTCAATTCAGCGTCCCCTGAACAGATGTAGACAAGTTTTCATTTTGACGAAACGAAGTATAGGCATTTCTGAAAGATTTCTGTAGAATATTCTTGAATCTGTGCAGCACTACAAGCTTGATCCCTTGAGAGAGGAAGTCACGACTCCAACATGTGAGTATACAGTGTGCGGGTTGAAGAAGCGGCATGCAACCATATCAATGTTAGATCCCAGGTTGGTAGTGATGCGCTGATTTATGTTCTCCATTCCTCATGATCAAACAGATGTTTGATTGATTCTTTACTCTTGGTGGCATAGTGGTTACCGTTTTATCAGCTCTAGAAGCCAGACCTAAGCAGCGTGTGTGGCCAGTTGCTTCACATTGTGTACTTTTGCTTGCCAGACTTCGGCTTTGCTCAGTGGGTTGTCGGGGTTGTTGATGCCCACGGCTAGACGAACGGCACAAGAACCCACTCCAACAAAACTTTCTTGCCAACTGGCCTGCGTTCTTGTGGTTTTCAATTTCTCATTTTCACCATTCGATGTCATGGCTTCATGATTGCAGGATCTACGTGAGGTCAGCTATCCACTTTGCTGGCGGTACGTAGTTCTGGCAATAAAGATGGAAATGATGCCTCGTGTTGTCGTGTTGATCACATTCTCGGGCTTTCTTCGCTGCAATTCTTATGCCCGGTCATGCAGTAGTGGTGCGATGGTGATATTTCATTGTTGCACTTCAGGAGCTCCGCTGGGTGGACCACCCATGTCTGCTGCTTCCATGCAAAGCGGTTTTCAACCAGGCAAGTCGGTACTGCAACACCCCAGCCTTCCTGTCCCTGCTTGGAACTTCATGGGAAGCTTATGTATTGTGTTCTCACTGGCATAGAACTCATGTAGAAGTTATGTCGATTTTGTATTTTGACTGCAAGCCGGTTTCCATCAAGAGACGATCCTCGAGAGAAAGTGGCAGTGTGTCTACCTGTGTGTGTCCATTGTTTCGGAAGAGATCTTTCAGATGGAAGGGCCGATGAACTCCATGCCGAACATGAGCTCGATGCCCGCCATGGCAGGCCTCAGCTGGAACTTTGTTGTTAGCAGTATGCTTCATCTTTAGTGCAATGCATTTCCAATTTACATCGCTACCTGCTCTCAGCAAACCGAAGGTCCTTTAGAGTTCCCATGCATGCAGAGCATGGCCAGCTTTGTACGTCCAGGTATGCACAGTGATGAAGTTAGACACTCGGCACGTCTGCGGTAGGCTACGGAAGTTAGCTGTACTTGGTTGGGATATGTTGGGATTCATGGCGATGTGCCTCTGTCTTCTGCAAGAAAAACTGTCGCAAACTCGCTGATGGCAGCGCACTGGCACCCCATGTCTGCCGCACGCAACCTGCCGCCAGACGTGCCTCGTCCCACAGCCAGACACGTGCCACAGCTTTGGAGTTCCAAAGCTTCGCACAAAGGTTTCGGAGACAATGGTGCCATCTGACGCGCCCATGACAGACGCCGAACAAATCTGTTGGAATGGAGCTGCGAATGGCAACGATTCTGGCCAAATCTAAGTTCGATTCTTTTTGGCTGCCTCTGCATCAGATTTGGTGGCTGCATCGCTGGTACTACGCCTGATGGGCCCTAACGTTTGTGGCTAAGGGTTTCAGCAAGAAATACAAGAAAGGAGGCAAGCCATTGCTTGTTGCAAGGAAGGCGAGACTTTGACCATGGCGGACATGGTGCGGCCCTCGGTGGTTCTTGCATTGCTTCAATCCTGATTCAGGAATCCTGATGTGAAGATGGCATCAGGTGGCCCAGGCATGGCATGTCTGGGAGAGTCTAAGAGTCTCGTGAGGCGCTTCGACACCTTGGTGGTGATCTCACCAACGTGTTGGCTGATCCTTCGGCAGGACTTTCAGCGGCACTTTTTTGTTGAATTTTTCTCCGGTACCTCTCAGTGCGCTCTCATGTGTACACACATTTTTGTACACGTAGGTCAGTCTAGGACTAGACATGTCGACTCGACCAAAGGCTTGCAGCTACAAAGGCCGTTTGAACAGTCCGTGGCGGCTTCTTTGCAGCAGTGGAACACTTAATGCCCTTTCTTGAGGTTGTTGCGGTTGCTGTGGTTCAAAAGCTGATGTCCAGAGGCCATGCCATTTGCTTTCCTCGAGCCTTTGGTGCTTGAGACTGGGGAGAAGGAGTAGTTATCCCGCTGTTCCAAAGATGGGAGCATGACATGGGAGCATGACATGGGTTCAACGATCTCGGAACATGTGCTGTCGGCAGGCCAAAAGATGCATTGTGGCAAACTTATCACCTCTGGGTTCAACCGGAAATCCTGGAAGTAGCAGCCCTGCGTTTCTTGGCCCTGTTTGGCAGTGCGTTTGTTACAGTTGTAAATTGTATCCATTTTGAAGTTCCGACTACGTATCCCTGCCTCTGGCACACATAATGTCTTTGAAGAGTTGTCTCCTTTATCAGACTTGTGAGCCAAGGAAGGGAGGAGGCTTTGCGTTCTCGCCAGGCCTTATGAATGGAAAGCATGGATGTTTTTTTTGGTCGGCTTCTGGGCTAAAAACGGTCATGGCATTCAGAGGTTTCAAGTGAGTGCCAACTTTGTTGCGTCCGTGCCGCAGGCATGGTTCTCCCGAGCCTGACGTCGCCTGGTCCTCTGGGGTCGCCAGTGGAGCCCATGAGCCACTTGCAGAAGTTAAATTGTTCATTGCTGTGAGATCGGTGCGCCCGCTTCTCTGTTTTGCAATCTGCCAAGAATGCTTGGAGTTCAGCTTCGGTTTGCTCAGTGTCTGAAGCACTTTCCAGCCCTTTCCAGCTTTTGTCAGGCAAGAAGAAACCGGTGCCGACCAAGCACCTTGAATTGATGACATGCCATGACATGCAGTGTTGGCGATGTGAAGTGTCGAGCATATGAGGAAAGGTATATCAATCGGTCGCCTATGAAGATCATTGTGCCAGAGCACATTTCTGTACCAGCTTGACTGCTTGGGGCTGGCCTCTGATGTCGTTGGAGGGGCTCAGCTCTTGGAGCCCAAATTCGAAGTGTTTTTTGGTAGCCATTTGATTAAGTGATTTTTCTTTGGCTTTTGACTGGAGTGAGCCTAGCTGGGATTGGTTTTGTTCGAGGTCTGTGATGCTCTTTGTGGTTTGAGCACTGAGTATTCCACTTGCATTGTTTTGTTTCTTCCATTTGTTTGTGGGGCCAACCCAAGCCAAAGCCATTGCTGCTAATGCCACCAGTGCGTACACAGAGAGAATTCGAGCTTGTTCAGACTTGTGCAAAGCCGGCAATGCCTTGACTGCACACAATCGAAATGTACAGAAATTGAATGCCAACAAGGCAGGGCTGCAAATCAGGGCTGCAAATCAGGGCTGCTGCTCAAGCATGCTCAGGCTGTTTCTTTCAAATCGCTCTTGTCCAAGTAGGTTCTAAGATTCTGAGCTCTGCAATTGAGGTGGTGGTAACATGTTTGTGTTGCGTTTTTCGTGTGACCTACTGTGACATCTTCCCGTGGACCATGCCACTCCAGGCCCCTCCAGCTTTCAGATGCCACCAGCTCCGACGCAAGGCACGGGACTCATCTGTTTTTTGTCATTTGCAGCATGTGCAGCAAGCTTACCCCGTTTCCATCCGTTTCCTCTTCCTGCGACAGTGTTTCGGAGAGACCGGACTGGCCAGCGAGGCCCGCCACTGGCAATGCAGGGGCAATACATGCCGAACATTTCCCGTCCTCAGATGACCAGCCATCACCTCGGCCTAGCCTAGTCACATCAGGTCTCGAGACTTGGAATTGCAGTTTGGAACACGTTGGAACTGTGCCTCTCTTCCGAGGCGCGGCCAATCCTCCTGTTGTTGCAGGAAACATTCAGTATGGCCCGTGCGGGTCCCAACATGTCCTGTCAAGGCCATGCAGAGTTGTCTATTCGCATCTCGGCATTTTCTTGCTGCCTGCAGAGGTCGTACAAGATGCAGTATCAGCGAAGATCGACAGCTGACAAGTCGGCAGTCAAGTGCCCTTGCCCTTGCGTGCCATGTTAAAGCGCGACACAGGCATCTCAAGATGTCTCAAGTGGGTTCGCATGCAAGCTGCAAGAGGTACACAGGGTTCCTCCCTCTGGAAGGTGTTTATGAGGAAGACACGTGCCGTGTGTGTCTCAGAGTGTGTCTCAGAGTGTGTCTCAGAGGTTTCGAGGTTTCGGAGCTTGGCACTTAGGGATTTGGGTAGAAGTCTTGCGCGGAGGGTCTTGCGGTGGGTCTTGAGCGCATGCCGCATCATGCCTAGCATGCTATGGTTGGGGGCAAAGTTGGACAGATCATGCAGTTATGCCTATGTGGCCTTTGTGGGCATCCGGTGGCGCTCAGGAATCGGATGAGCTGGAGTGCAACCTTTGAGTTTGCTGCGTGTGCCTTGCCACGTCGAGCAGATACTCAACACATCTGACATCAAGAGGTAAAGGGGCGTTAAGGGTCATTAATGCAGTAGTAATGGTTCTGTTGCAGGTTGTGGTGAATGCTTGTTGCAACCCAACCAGTGAGATCCTTCAAAGATGGTTCACATGTCTCACACAAGGACTCTACTCAAGGCATTGGTTTCTGTGAGCCGAAAGACCTGTGCACTTTGATCTCTTGGGCTGTGTGGGATGCATGTGTGTTTGGTTGGATATTGCATGGGTTGCATGCCCATGGCGGAATCACAACTAAAGGGTAGCTGCCACTCCACCCTTAGGGAGGGTACTTCTGGCTCCGAACAAGCCCTAAACACCCGAAACCCCGAATCCTAAAACTCTCTCTTCGCCCAAAAAATGAGATGCGAAACGAAAAAAACTATAAAGCAAACAGCAGTAAGACCACCAGGGCGCTTGCTTCACGCATTGGCCTGCTGCACTCTCGTGGCGTCGCACTTGAGTGATCAGTCGCTTGCGACTGCCGTAGTGTTACGGTGCCGCAGCAGTGGCTGGCTGGCGTTTCCCCCGACGATGGGTGCGAGGCCACGCTGGGCGGGGAAGCGCGTTGCCGCTGCACGCAGGCTGTGCAGGGCAGGGCAAGGACCACAAAGGTTAGGGAGATGGAGATGGACTTCGATTGCTGCGTGGGAGGAAGCATGAGGAAGGGTTGGAATGATTCATAATGCCCGTTGCGCGCTTTCAAGCGCTGGCGCCGTGTTGCGTCAAGGTTGCATTGTTTATTTGTTTGGATTGATGTTGTTGTTGTTGGATGTTCTGGACACGGCAGGCATGAGCTGGCATGAGTGCACGACAGGCATGAGTGCAGCAGCAGCAGCAGCAGCAGCAGCAGCAGCAGCAGCACGAGACAACATAATCCGTTTGCTCCTGGCGCCGCGATGGGTTGGGATGGCAGCGAAGCGTGGCATTTCTAACGAAGAAGCTTGGTTGCTTATTGCCTGGGCTGAACGCGAGCACTGATGCAGCGTCATGGATGCATCAGGAACCAGCCAAACAGAAAGTTTTGGGATTTTATGGACATGCGCCGTCGGCAAAGACGGAGCCTCATCGTCACGGTGTGATCCCGTGGGCGAGTGCACTAGCGGGTCATGCCGCGCAGGTTCAAAGAGTTCAGCAATTTTTTTCAGTCCAGTCCTTTCAGCCAGGGCCCCAATGGCAATTTTTAGGGCGATATACAACCATGACAGAACTGAAGCAACAGTTTCTCTTGAAATGATTTGTGCTGCAAGGTTTCAATTTGCCAGAATTTGTCCAACGCGATGGTTGGGACAAAGTCGCCACGAACCCAGGAGCAATAGTACCCCAATTTGTATTCAAGTTTGGGCACGGGTGTAGCTTGCAACGGAGCTGCGTGGGACGGCTGATGACATTGCACCAATATACATCCGAGGTTCCATGCTGTTTTTCGGAGAAAGCGATTATGTTGATGAAGGCGGAAGCAGCAGTTGCTGTGAAACACTTTTTGCAGTATTTGTTTTAGCTAATACTCGTACTGGATTGAGTAGCTAATCATACCTGGGAGGCATGAACAGTTTGATCTTTCTGCTGAGAAAAACAAATCAACCTGCCTGGGGAGGGACGGGTGTAGGTGCGCAGCATCTCCTAAGCCATGCATCATCGTGTGCTTAAGAAAGAAGGAGCTGACAGTGAAACCAAAAGTCCAACACGTACTGTCCTTCCGGCATGGCGCACCCAAGTTAATTTGTAGACTTAGAGAGCGGTGAAGACTTGGATGCCGTTGACACCCACAGGCTGGCGAGGACCCAGTCGCCCAGCTCAGGCCGGCGGCAGCTCGAGGAGCCAAGCGGCGTCGGCGTGTTGGGAGGCGATCGCCAGCAATCCCGACCATCAGGCGATCCATGCCATGATCGCGCAGGAAGCATGTGGGCAGGGACATGCAGGGACTGTGGCGGCCCGATGCCGCGCGAGGAGGCGCCGGCTTCTGGTGCACGCGTCGTTTCACCTCGCCTGGTTGGGGAGAGACGATGGTCGAGTCGGGAGCCTTGCCACAAAGGCAGGCCAGAAAGGATCTCGATGCGTCCCTCATGAAAGATCGGCACCGCCGCCTCAACGTTCATGTCTGCAAGTCGTGGCGGGTAACTCGCGCACCACGGCGTGCTCCAGAGGCCATGCTCGCGCCTCGGGGCATGTAAACTTCGTATGTGATGCGGGAAGCATGGTGCTCGCTGCATGCAGCGGTCCAAAGGTGCGCCGGACTAATGGCTCAAGGCAGGAAGACCTTGTGCAGGCTGTCAGAATTGGGGAGACCGTTCGCCTTAAACATCTTGTCCTTGTGTTGCGGGAACTGTCAAGTGGTCAGCATGGTCAGTTTCATTCCAAGGACAGTGCCCGTGAAACTACCAAAACATCCAGAACGCATGCTGCGTGAAAGAGCCACTCAGGAAAGTCACTCACACCTCACACGCCGAGACGCACGCATGTCACAGAAGCGACATCATCGCTGGAGAAAGTATTTGGCACGCTGTGCCGCACAGGAGCAGGAGCAGCAGCCACGCTGCCGCGAGCGAGCCAGGTCATAGTTAGCCTGCGGGATTTCAGATGAGCCCGCGTGCGAGACGCATGCTGCTGTCGCAGGTTGGGCCACACTTGGCCCGTGCCATCACCGTCCCGCCATGTCCCGCCTACACACACAAACCCGTCTCCCTTCCGAACGCGCAGTTCCGCAGTCTGCTGCCGCTGTGGCGCCTACACCTGCCCCTGCCGCTCGCCCCTCGCAATGTCCGCGTCGCTGAAACATCGACGTGCCCGTCGCGGACGACAGGCGCATTGAGTCGCGGCTCCCAGCTCGCTGTGACGCCAGACCAGATTGGGCACGATGAAGTTTCTGGCTCAGGATGGACCAATGTTTGTGTTTCACTGTTTTGCACGAACCGAAGCGGGAGTGGACCCTTTTTCTGTCCCCAAATCTGCTCTCACCCAGCAGAGGGGAATGTGGCGTCCCTTCAAGATCGACTTGGCGAGTTGGTGTGATGGCATGGGAATCTTTGCGCACCATTGGTGTGCGTCTCAAACGCCCTTTTCAACGGGTGTCGTACACCATGGCACAGATGCCGGGCAGTCCCCAGAGTTCTCGTGCCGTGTCCTCCACACCGCCACCTCGCCGCGCACGCCTGGCCTGCCGACACCGCCTCCGCTCCGCGATGCGGCGACTCGCAGCTGCCGGCCGCGGAAGCCGTAGCAGGCGCGGCAGAGCGGCGGCCTACACGACGCAGGCGGGGGGGGGGGGCAGGGCGGGCACAAAAACAGCCTCAACCGTTTGACCAAGCTCGCTATGTGCTGTCGGCCTTCTCCAGCTTCAGTTCTGTGCCGCAGCCGCTTTTGCAGAGCGATGTTGCCCGTGCACACTCCCGGCCCTGACATGCTACCTCAGTCGGCACGATGATGGCTCCATAGGCTCCCCTACCCCGTTCGCATCGCCGGCAGCGACTTATTTGCACGCTCATCAGATACCACAAAGGGTGTTGGTTCATTTTGACAGCAGGACGGTGGTCATGGAAGTCGAGATCTGCTAAGGAGTGTGTAACAACTCACCTGCCGAATGGATCAGGCCCATGCCAGTCTGGTCCTCGCGCAGAGGTCGTTCACCCGCGCTCCCATGGCCATTTGCTGGTTTTCATCCACCAAGCACCCCGCCGGCTAAATGGCAACAGGGATCTCGGCGTTGGCAAGCTGGGTGGCCGCGTACGCTAAAAGTTCGAGCACGCTGACGTCCTGGAGCAGGAGCCTGACATGCTCCGCCCGCATGCCAGAGAGGCCCGCAACGCCGCCCCGCTATGCACGCGGCTTCTCCCGCCACCCGAGCATCCCGAGCACACTGCTGACGAGGCCGAAACGCTTTCCGACACGCTGAGCGTGAATACGCCTTTCGCTTCGCCCCGGGACGCTGAGCCCTTTAAACACGCCGGAGAGTTGGGGTTCACGCCAACTGAGGCGCCAGCGCCCCCTTGGATCCCTTGGCAAATGGCCCCCCCAGAAAGGTGCAAGGGATGCGTAACTCGTAACTGTACGTTCCCCTGCTTCATACTTCTGCCGGGTCCTTGCTTGGACGGGCCGTAGAGCTCTGGCGTGCGTTTCCGGGCGCCGACCCACGCTGGAGCCAGCTGGTGGGCGCCAAAGAAGCTAGCTGAAATCCTGCAGGCCGTGTGCGCCGTGGCCGCAGCGGAATTCCCGAGTGAACCCGTCGCCCACGATGTGCAGGCAGTGCTTGCTCAGCTCGGGGCCCTGCCTGACGCACCGCTGCCGTTGGCAGCCACTTTGCTTCTGTGCACGGATGCCTCTGGCTACGTCCCGGCGGCCGTCCAGTCCGCCTTGCTGCAGGTGTATGGCGGGCCGGCGGTCGCCACGCGCGCCCTTGCCTGTCTGCCGTGCCTGCGCGATGTCGACCTTGCGTCGGAAGTGGAAAAATGCGTATTCACGCTGCAGTCGCCGCCACGCCAGTGGCATCCTCCGAAACGCGATGAGGGTGGCGCTCGAGGCGGTCCGCGATGGTGACGCGGGAGTGGGAGCCCGCGACGGATGGATACGTTAAACTTGCAGAGCTGGTCTTACAAATGCATCCATGGCTATTGGAATTTCGCACATCATGTGGCAAAGTTGCCTGCAAGCAGGTGGGTGAAGCGTGCGATGAGTTGGTCGCCAAATGGAGTTCGCGTTCCTGGTAGACCTCGCGATTGTTGGTACACGCAGCTTGAAGCTTTTGCGCGTTTCAATGGAAATACCTGTTGGACTGAGTACGTGACAAATTTCTTTGACATCGCGCGGGGTGCATTCATTGATTTTGTACAGCATTGAGAAAATTGAACAAAGATGATTCGTCAAAAGCCGTCGATGTTTAGAATGATTCTAACATTGACGTGACGTCATGCTCAAATGCAGTTTGACACCATGTA